AACCCTTTGGTAATTTACCAATAAACACTTCCGATTTAGTTGTAAATTGGCTGAAATAGGGGCGCACAAGTCTGCGTCACATACGGGAAGTGGACTGCCAACACATGGCACCGGCTTGTGGGTTTGGCCAAGCGTGGCCGGATTTGGCCATGGCCGCGCCGTATTTTAAGAAATTTCAAGAGTCGTTTCTGCCGCTTAGACAAAGTTTTCTGTGTTGGAATGTTCCGAGTTTACCGAAGTATGCGTTAATTTACCCAGAAAGTGCCTTGTGTCTTTACTTCTTGGAAGATGAAGACTTGCCTGTATAAGCAGTTTAGGACACTTTTGTTTAAGTGGGCCACTTGGACGCCATTTATCTGCCACTCTTGTGGGCGCTCGCGACGAAGTGGTACGTTGTCCAACGTTGGTTTTATGCCTATCGCGCCTTCATGATCTTGCTTACGCCATAACTAGTCTATTTCATGTTATGCAAGTAGGTTTGTTAACTGTATGGGTGTTTTAATCTCACAGTGTGCGTTTCAAGTGATTTTGAACTTTCTAATGTTGTTCTGTACCCGTCAATGACAGCAATCATGAGACGCAGGTATTATGGCTTTCACCGAAGCACAATTAACAAGCGGATTGCGCGTAAGAAGAAGGCATATTATGCGCGGATTTGTGGTCCCTCCGTTCCCTCTACGTCGTCGGTGGTAGATCAACCACCGAATTCAGAAATGCCGATACTAGTCCCAGAAGTTTGCGCTGGTAATGATCTTACTGTTTTACTTAACAACAAGTTTAGAATCCGTAGATAAAGCGGGGACGCTGACGCAGACAAATGTTTTCTGACGAATTTACGGGAATTCTGCCTGGAGGCCCAAATGTCACTATCCACAACCAAGAAGTTGTTTCGGGTGCTGCGGCCCTTCCACCCAGAAGTACCTAAAGACCCAAGGACGCTACTGCAAACTTCCTGGCCGAGAAAGTGGTCGCCCTCAACAACAGTGTGCGGCAACTGCAGGCAGCAATGAATGATGCTGTCCGTGCATTAGAGAGGGGTGCCGTTGCTGCCGACGTCGGGCCCTCTCGTCTGCGTTTGCCATTGTGCACAGCCGAAGCCTACGAAGACTTCGTTCGTCGGCTAACTACAGAGGTCGAGTTGGCAGGCAAGGCGGTATGTGTGTATTTGTTTAACTGTGGTTGGTGGTGAGTGTGGCCGTGGTTGGAGGGCGGAGTGAAAATGACTTCGTCAGAAATTTTTTGGATGCTCTTATTGGTACGCCGCTTTTTTACACTTTCTGCTGGAGGAACGGATGCAAGGAGAAGCGGTCGTTCCTTGCCTGTCCGTCATTTAGCATCACCAACGGTAGGTCCACTTTTTGCTTATTGGCACATACAGATGCCATCGGCCAAAACTCCCGTTTCAGCAACCGCAACAAGGAGGTACTTCGACTGACGGCCATTAATTGGTTCCATGGTGGACGATCGGAACGCAGGCGGAATATTCACACAGTAAGACATTTTCCTTTGAATTACTGCCCAAATGTGTTCAGTTTCAAGGAGTCCCCACCGATGACCTCGCATGTCCACAACCTTCCCCTCCGAAACACACGTAAGTTAACTGAAAAAGGACTGCTGCTAACACACTTTATCTCTACCTTACTTTAGTGTTCGAAAAGTGAGACACAGCTCACTTTGACCGGCCCTCGTTGACCGGGTTCGGATCTGCGTCGGAACCGTATTTTACTGTAACCAGTGCCGCGCCCGCCCTGGTTGACCGCGTAGATAATTAGCGTCCCTAATTACTTCACGCCGTTACTGCCTTCTGTCAAGGTGGTTCGTAAAGCCGAATACGGGCAAGCAAGTTACTTTGACGGACGACATCCAGGCTTTTCTGCATCAGCCGTGAGATTGTTGGCCGAGGCGATGATTACATGCTAGGGTGGGTTGATAGACGCCCAGTCGCCTTTCGCCAACAGCTCAATCAACAACTACACCAATAAGCTTGCCCCCAATTCGGTTTTATGAATTTTCTTCGCCCGAGGCAGTGATGATGTGGGCCATTAAGACTGCCACTTATCTCCGCAGTCAACGAGGGAAGGGGGCCAAACTATTCGCATTTAAATGCGAATACGGTGAAGCTCCACAGGAGGTCAGTTAGAGTCATGTACATAGAACTGTGTGCATGACTTTCCAGTGTCTGGGAACGGGCAGACGAATTCACTACTAGGAACACCGGACCCGCGTCTGGCCTGCCCCGTAGGAAGCCTTCTTATGACAGGCCATCTAGGAATGCCATTTCTCATGCTATTAAAATTATTAATTACTCCAATTACAAAAGCATTACCTGTGTTTAACACCAGTTCTTTTTTTGCAGGAACCGCCAATAACCAGTGACAATCGTCCAGAAGTCCATTTATGTCTATTGAAGAACTCCATCCTGCCTGTATTTTTCGTACCGACTCCTCTCATTTGTAAATACTCAATAAACCGTCCTTTCTAACCATTTTCTGTCCATTTTCCTGTTTAGTGGGATATAGGGAACGTTAACTAGGTTCTCCGGTTGTACACTTACGCGGGGATGTTTATCGCTGATTTGCTTTAGCCGAGGCTAGGAGGATTCAGCGACACATGCAATCTTACTGCGACAGCCGCCAGTTTAGAATGAGTGCACTCGCGTGTAAAAGACGGAGGCCATAAACGGGGGGAGACGAATGGCGAAGGGGGGGGGGGCGCCGCCAGGCATTCTTCTCCGGATGGTGTGACCAAACCTGGCTGAGGCGTCGAAGGCCACGCCTTAGCCGCGGCAACTGGTCACGTTTGGCCGCGTCATAACCACATACTGCCGCGGCTGCATGGTGCGGCAGGCCGGGGCTGGTGCTGGCAGGGTGTGACCTTACAATAACATGGAAAATTCGAAGTACGAATATTTGCTGAAAAATCCAAAAACGAGACCGATTGCACACGTAACTGAAATTGAACCTTCAACCGGTTTACAACAGCCACAAGGAGGTTTTAGCTTGTTTGCCTTCAAAATATACGGATCCATCAGTATTTCTGCTTCGTGAAGTGGAACTCGGTTCATATAGTCAATACGTGAAAGTGAGAACTGATTTTTTTTGCGGGATTTGCTTTAGCATATCTTATGCAACAAGAGGCGTCGGAAGGGAGATCCTTTCGTCAGACAAGAATTCTCATAAAAAGTTAAACACACCAATGCCTCTACCAATGCTCAAAGTCTCGTTTCAAAGATCGTCGACTTCAAAGCGATAGTATCAGAACGAATCCCCGACGTCATCGCCATAACGGAAACTTGGCTTTATGCCGAAATCGTGGATGCGGAGATTTCGGTACTGAGCTAGCACCTCTTTCGTAGAGACCGTCAAAATATACAGGGCGAATGGGTAGTCGTACATGTAAGAGCAGGAATTTCGGCAGTTGAAAGAGCCCACACCCTCTCCCTTGAATATGAATCCGTCTGGATAACGATAAAGAAGACCAATGCACAAAATCTAGAGTTCATGGCGATTAACAGACCACCAAACCTTCTGAGTGAAGCTGATGAGTCGCTCCTTGGCTTAGTCAAAGACCTAGCTAGCCACCAAGAGGTTCATATTGCTGGGGATTTCAATGCACCTCCAATAGATTAGGAAAATACGTCCGTTAACTGTGGGTCAACATCTTTCAGCAATAAGCTACTGGACTTCACACTCGATCTGCCTCTGGCGCAACATATGAAGATACCAACAAGATTTCGAGAGGAGCAGAGAGCGAATTGTCTAGATCTAGTCTTCACTGACCACTTTTGTAATATCGACTAAGAGTATTCCAATGCACCTCTCGGGAAAAGTGACCATGCTACGCTAATATGGGATTACCCGCTCTTCTCTCAACGCCAAAAGATAACAAAGGGTCAAAATAATATATGGAAGGCACATTTTAATACGATGAAGAACGAATTGCTGTAAGTGAATTTGGACCAATTACTCAGGGGAGATCCGGAGGACGACTGGAGATCTTTTTAGACGATTTCACTCGATCTGATTCGGCGCTGTTGTCAACCTAAAGTACAAAAAACAACTGGTCGACCTGCTTGGTTAACCAGGGACCTAAATAGACAGCTACGGAAGAAAAGCAAAAGATGGAAAACATTCAAGGAAATTGCGTCACCAGTGAATTTCGAAGAATTTCGTCGTCAACTAAATGCTGTCAAAAAATGTATTCGTCAGGCGCCGATGGATTATGAATCCAAAATTATCCGACAGGCTGAACAGAAGACCAAGATTTTAATTCACTATCTTAACAATAGACTGAAAAATAAGGACCCGGTCGCGGTGTTGAAGGATGATAATTGTATAGAGATCATTGAGTACAGCGAGAAAGCCAAACACTTAGGGTAGTATTTTACCTCGGTTTTTACGAGAGAAACAGATTTTCGCAGTCGCAGTGCCAGCAATGCTGTTGAGACTGCTGGTCTCATGCTTGACTCCATACTCTTCCCGGCAGCTGTCGTGGAAAGGGAACTGCAAAATCTCAGGGAAGCAAAGTCCTCGGGTCCGGACAACATACCGGTCATATTCTTAAAAGGACTGGCAAATGAACTCTCCAAATCATGGCACACATCTTCCGCTCGTCATTCGAATTAGGGAGGCTGCCATCGGAATTGAAGACAGCAAATATTTATCCGATATACAAGGGCGGGGCTGGCACTAATGCCAACAATAACCGGCCTGTTAGTCTAACCTGTATCTGCTGTAAAATAATGGAGGCCATAGTTAAGAAAGCAACAATGAAGTTCCTGGAGAAGGGACATTTACTCTCAGACCTGCAGCACGGCTTCAGGCAGAACCGCTCATGCTTTTCCAGTTTATTGCTCTCGACGGAGCAGTGGCCTCGCGCACTGGACGAGGATGGTAGGGTCGATGTCATCTACACAGACTTTAAGAAAGCGTTCGACAGCGTCCCACACAAACGCCTAATCTACAAACTTTCTGAAATTGGGATAAGAGGAAGGCTGCTGACACGGATAACAGATTTCCTTACTGGGAAATCGCAAACCGTGTGCATTGAGGCCTCAAGTTCAACTCCTATCCCCGTTCTAAGTGGTGTACCGCTGAGGCGAGGATTTGGGCAGACCGATAAAGAGCTGTTCGGAAAAACCTATGGAGCCTTCGTCCGGTCTCACTTAGAGTATGCAGTCCTGGCCTGGCGACCGTGGTTAATGGAAGATTACCAACGACTGGAAGGAGTACAGGCGATGGCTACCAATATGGCTAAGAATCATCATCATCTGCCTTAGCTGATCGAACTAAATCTGTTTCCTCTAGATTACAGGCAACTGCGCGGCGATCTCATTCAAACCTACAGGATTGTGAGAGGCTGTGAGTTCGCCCTAGACTTTGATGAATTCTTCGAATTAGCCGGGACTGACCGTCTGCGTGGTCATTCCTTCAAACTGCAGAGGAAGCTGGCTCAGTCGGACTTCCGACGGAACGCCTTCTCTCACAGGGTCATTGAGGCATGGAACGGACTCCCTGATGCCGTGGTCCTTTCCGAAAGTGTCAAATCCTTTAAGTGTAGACTAGATGCTCATTTGTTGAGAAACTACTGTGCATATAATAATGATTGTTTTAGCGGCGGCAGTTTGCGCTTGGCTCAGACTTACCGCTAACTTTTTAACTTTCCGTATTTGCTGATGTGATTGATGACTTTATTTCTGTTTAGTGATATCATTAGGGAGCTCAAGGATGAAAGCCTCATTCCCTTAATAAACTGACTTAAACTGTTATAAACCAGCAATAACACGGGGGACTTATCAATAAGAGAAGAACGCTCACCGAACGTGTTACGGAATTAGCTCGTTGCGATGCGTCTTAGGGCTATCTGTTGTGTCCAACCAGCAGCTTCAAATTGTGCATAATATCGGCAGATTAGCATTATCGATAAAGGCAGGGGAGACTGAAATAGCCATCTTTGGCTTATTAGCCGTCGTCTGCCGGCCACACCCAGCCCCGTGCTGTGGCATAGCTGGTGCTCGACCACGCGACCAGTTGGCTAAGGGTCCAAAGGCCCCAGGCACTGAGTCACGTGCTCGTATTCCTGTCGGTTGCGTTCAGGGCTATGCAGGTGTAAGATAAGGGCGTGTGATTTCCGAACCCATTGACTCTTTTCTGTTAAGCCTACCCATGACTTCGCTCAACACGCAGCTCAAACTGGCAAGTCCGTAATCGGTCGCAAACGCAGAGATGAGCGTAGTGTGCATCCTTCTCCGGGTCATGAGAAAAATCCGGTAATCAAACGACTCAAGGACAGAACATGTAGTGGCTCAGTAATTCCTGGCGCCAATTTAAATGTGAGTATCTTCACAATCTTCCCCAACCACAGAGATCAACCTCGCCGCAGGATTCCTAGTCCCATGAAATCAAGCTGTTCACAGAAATGGATGCTTGTACTTGTTGAACTATCGACAACCTTGTGAATAAATATAGTGAAATTTGGCTCACTTGTTAAAATGCTAAAAGAACTGATAAAAGTGCGAAAATCTGTTTGTTCGTCCCGATTAGTGGAGGCCTCCTTATTATACCAATTAGGAATGGAATCCCAGCGGTCGTGCTCTTATTAAGAAAGCTATATGGAACTGGAAGATTAACAAAGAAACGAAGCCCTTATTCTTGTAGGTCAAGGCTTTGTATCATTTGAGCGTTGTAGTTTTGTTGTCCGGTTAAACCCCTTCCGCGGCCTTTAGGCTTTACGCCAGTCACTAAAGCCTGATTTATTTTCCGACTCTTTGTGAGGTACTTCAAACTCGCTTGGACAGGTTCCAGTCCTAGTTGATATTCCCAGAGAACTCAGAACCGCAGACTACATTCGATTTCTCCGCTTCCTCCTGCAAAAGGTCTCCTTACCCGACTTTCGTTTACGTTATGTTTACGCGTATATAACAGACTATGACAATACCCTCATGAAAGTGCAAAGTAATCCTTTCTAAAGAAATAACTATCCTGTTATTCTCCATACACTCATACTGAAGTCAAAGAACATCGTGTGTGGAGAACTTGATTTTCGCTTCTAGAATATCCTTTGTCAAAGGCAACCTAGGAAAACTCAGGCTACATATCACATTAATGAATGTTAATGCATAAAAGTCTCTCATAAAAATAAAGTCCGTCTGACAGTCTTTCTCAGCTATCCCTTTCAGCTGGCAATTATCAGCATCGAAATGCAAATTTAGTGGCTAGTGCTTAGAAATCGCTTTAAGAATCTGCCAATATCGAACTTTTATAATCAGTAGACATGTGGGCTCTTTTCAAATTTGATCAACTGTTTCTATAAACGCCTAAGTACACTTTCATTCTAGCGGTCACCTCTGCTTCGCATAAATGCCAGAACCATATGAC